GCTGATCTCTTTGGCGGTAGGCGGTCCTCTTTGGAGGGTCGCTGAGAACGGGGCTGATGCTGTGGTTGTGGTGGAGGCTGTGGCTGCGTCTGACGGGGTGGAGGTTCAGGGCGACCTGGAGTCTTGCTCTCTGTCACGATGGCCTTGAGCTGCTTCAGCTTTTCGTCTTTCACCCACAGCTTATTTTGCATCTCAAGCTGCAGTGCATTAACACGTCTCTCCTGCACAGTGAGGATATTGCAAAATGTTCAAATGCAATATTATCCAAGTTGCTTGAATAAGACAAATTGGCTTCCACTATAAAGACTAAAACAATGACCAACAAGGGCTGTTTGCAAAACTGAAATGTGTGTCAAATTTAGATCTTACTACCAAAGTAGGTCTTTTTTTGCTTGTGGTCTTTATTGTAAATCTATATATTGTTGAATAAAAGGGAAAAAAAGATATTTGAAACTCACACATTCTTTCTCCCACTTGAACTGGGTGTCCGAGATCACGCCATGCATGCGCTGCTCCATGCGTCTCTTCTCTGACAGCTCCCTCTGCAGCCTCTGCTCTCTGGTTTCCAGCTCATGCTGCAGCGAGCGCTTGTCATCTTCAAAGATTTTAGTTGTTTTCTGCAGGATGTCAATCTGAAACAGAGACATTAAAATTAAAGAAAAAAAAGTGACAACCTTCAAATCTGCAGCGTGAATGGATTAGTCTCCCACCTTGTGTTCTTGCATCTTTGTTTTCTTCTCTAAACGTTCAATCTCTGCCTTGTTGCCTTTGATGATTTTGTCTTTCTCTATCAGTTTGCCGTTTTGTTCCTGAATAAAGTTGTCTTTGGAAATTAGGCTGGTATCCAGTTCTTGGAGCACAGGCTTCATCATGTTGGCTGAAATAACATCAAGAGAAATGTGAGCCAATAGAAAGACAACTATTCAAAAACTGATCTTTCAAAGCCAAAAAGTATCAGATGAGCTAAAATGAGAACAGACACCTGTTTTACTGTATTCCTCAATCAGCATCTGCTTGATCCTCTGCCTGTTCTTCAGGGCTTCAATCAGCCTGGGCAGCGTGATGTCATCATGTGGGTCAGTCAGCTCACAGGAGGGTAGAGATGGGAGACTGAGGATCAGAGTGTTTGCAGCAGCAGGCATGTCTACAGAAGACAAAGAATCACAAGTCCTTAAAGCAATTGTGTGGTTTTTAATAATCATCACACACAATACTGCACTGTTAAAACATTTACATAGTAGTAGATCAGATTAATTGTTTAATTTTGATGGAAATTATGTTTGCAAGAGTTTGGCTTGTCTGTTAATTTGCATGTTTTGTGTTTCCAAAGAACTTCTTGAAAAATAATGCATTCTCTCATTTTCAAATTAAATCTTTACACACAGTAAGTTGATGCCAGAGTTTTCTAAAAGTGTGAATACAAGGCTGAATAATACTTTAAATGTTGCTACATTTAACCACAGTAAATGGACTGTTTCTTATATAGCGGTTTTGTATTATGAGTACTCAAAGCGCTTTATTCACCCATTCAAACCCATTTATTTTCTATGCAATTGTTTTCTATCTAACAGTCGCAAACAGGCATACTCCAATGGATGCATTGGAGAGCAGAGTGGGGTTCGTATCTTTCCCAAGGATATTTGGCATGCAGACTGAAGCAGCCAGGGTTCGAATCACCAGTCTTCCGATTAGCAGATGGCCTGCTCTTCCCCCTGAGTCACAGCCATCCCCAACTAAAATTCTCCTTGAGATGATAAAATGAAAAGTCCATGTAAAAGCTGCCACTGTGCAGCCATCTTATTTGGGCTGTTGTTTTGAAGTATCATCTAAATCATTGTTGTAATTTCAGAGAAATGATGCATTATCCTGACATTTAATACACAATTCACAAGCAACTGATGACAGTGGGAAGGAAAACTTCCATTTAATAGGAATAGGAATGAGTGGATGAGGGGAAGAAGACAGCATAAAAGATGTGCTGTGGAAGTGATTGAAAAGAGGTAAGTGAAGAAGATTGCTCAGTGCATCACGGGAAGTCCACAGCAGCCTAGGCCTACTGCAGCATAACCAAGCAGCATATTTAAGGGACAGTTTATGGTCATCTGATGAATACCAAATTATAAGAAAGTTTTAAGCCTAATCTTAAAAGCAGAAAGACAGCATCTCAAATTCAAACTGGGAGCTCCCAGTTTGAATTTGAGATGCTGTCTGCAAAAACAAATATGCCCTCTTCTGAGTTGCTGTTTGGCACTCTCGCTGCAGAGTTCTGGATCAACTGAAGGCTTTTCAGGGAGCTTTTGGGACAAGTTGATAATGAATTACAAGAGTCATAGTAATAAATGCATGAACTATTTTTTCTGATTTTAGAGCTATTGCACAAATGCAAGAAACCAGTCCTACATATGTGTTTAATATGTGCAATAAAGGACATATTCTGGTCAAAAATTACTCCCAAGATTCCTCACAGTGTTACTGAAGGTCAAGGCAATGCCATGCAGCTTAACCTTGGTTTTATCTGAATTTAGAAGCACACAAAAATGTGTCCAGTGTGATGAGTGAATATAACAACAATAATTAGCAGAAGTGGAAAACCCCTCATTACACACTTGGTGTTGCTCTTGTTAAAAGGTTGAGTGTTCTTACATTTAGGCTAATCTTTTGATTAACAGGGTGTTTCACACACATACCAGGATCTATGGGGCCACCACGTTCTTCCAATCTGCGAGACAGCTCATCTTTGAATGCCTGGTTTCTATGACGACGGCCTGGAGTAAAGCCACAGATTGGTCTGTCCACTGGCCTGGCCACTTCCACCTCTTGGGTCATCTCTGCAAACCGCATCACCAGCTGCACAAACAGAGCATGTGTTATATGTCAGGGGGGGTAAGGGGGGTAACTAAAAAGTAACAAAGTAAGAGGGCGGGGTGAATTTACCAGGGTTTCCTCATAGTCATCAGTCTTGGGATTGACACAGACAACCATTCTAACTTTTCCCTCTCCATCGAAGTAGTTTTTAAACAGGTGGGTTATTTTGGAGTCTCGATAGGGGACCATCTGGAAGAGAAAAATGTCAATTAGGAATGTCAATCAGGAAATGCAATCAAAGTCCATCTTCAGTTTGGCAACACATACCTTGTTTGTGCCACACATTTGGTTTTCTCGAAGTATCTCGATGCATGTCCTCAGATTCAGCAAAGACTGATTTATGTTACCTGAAAGGCAAAAAGTGGTTAAAGCTCTTTAAAGCTTAGCTAAACGCAAGTCCATAGGCTTGTATATAAACAACAGACTTGTCTTAACAGAAGGCCAGCAGGAGACAGCCCTTGTATGCTACATAAATAAGTTATATATGAATAAAAGAAAGTGACAACTACTACTACTACAGTAATCTGTTAACAGACATACGTGTGTTTTTCTTTTTTCTATATCTTGTTTTGTAAAGTATAACTAGTTTAAGCATATTCTTCTGGAGTAAAAAGAAGTTTTAGGACACTTTTGGCTAAATTGACTAAATTGTAACTGATAACAAATCAGCAGCCACTTTTATAATGTCCATTATTTTGGAGCATTATCTAAATTAAAGGTCACCACTGCATTCGAAACTTCAAGCAATTCTGCTTCAAGTTTACCGAACTTGTCCAAAATAAGGATTTAAATATTAACAAACCTGCTTCACGTATACGAGTGCCTTCTGCCCCTGTCCTGCCAGTTCGCTCGCTTCCTGCCAAGTCCACCAGGCACAGTTGACTAACACTTATCTGGTTCTTATCCTAACAATCAAATTAAGAAGAAAAATATTTGTCAACTATGGTTTATCCAAGTATGTTGCCAACATGGCTCTGGTGTGGGGGGATTTGGTTCAACTTTTAGCTGACCTGGAGAACGTTGTCGCCATCTGCATCAAGAGGCGCCTGAGCCAGTTTAATAATGAACACACTGTGAGAGCGACTGGACTCTCTATTCAGCCGAGTGTTCGCAACCTTCCTCTTTTTTTGACCTGGAAAAAACACAGTACAGGACATTTCTAAAACCACATTTCTTTCCAGACATTTTCATGCACAATTTAAAAGCCAAACTATTTCAGACACAAAACTCATACTGAGCATTCACATGCCTCAACAACCTGCTCAGAGAGAAGATTAACTGAGGTCATTTACTGGCCAGAGCCGACCCCAGAGGGCAGCAATTCCAGGTCAGTCACATCTACGATCATCACTGCAGGGTACTTTATTTGTTCTTTACAGTTATATGAGAACAACTCACCTCTCCAGAACACTTGAAAAGCCTCCTCGGCAGATTTGACTTCAACCTCCAGACAACCGGCCACATACATGATGTGATTCTGATCCTCTCTGAGGATTTTAGACTGAGGCGGTCTGCATTTAGAAAATAATCATATTAGGGAACTGCTTTTCCTTCAATCTGCAAAATGTTGCATACCAAGCATTGCAGGGAGTCATTAATGCTGGTTGTTTTCAGCCACAGAAAGTAACCAGTTACAGTCATAAAGCATCACAAACAGATGTAAGAACATTCAGTGTTGCCAGAACAAACACCAAAAGCAGCAGGGGGAATCTAAGGATTTCCAAGGCTAAAGTAACACTCATCAACACTGGAGACATTACCTCCCATCAGCAGCTCTGTTATACATGGTTGTGCGTGGTTCAGAATGAATGTGTCCAAAATACATATTTTTTTTACCACTGAATGTGCTCCCAGATTTATACTTTTTGCATGACGTAACTCTGAATTTTGGACTACGGCTGATTATTTTAATGATCAATTCAATTATTTGCAGACAAAATAACTGATAACTTGAGCTCAAAAACAAGAGAAGCTTCAAATTTTGGACACCAATCATCCCAAATATATAGTCAGTGTACTATTATTTAAAAAAAGAAGAAGAAGTAATCAGTCAAATCATCAAAACTCATTTTTATGACAGCAAAAACATCTGTGAAACTTAGGAAATGTCTCCAACACTGACAGGTTACTTTTTTTGCACATTTCTATGCAACAGCAGAAGCTCAGCTAAAAATCAGGCTGCTACAAATATTCACTGGTCACATACATCAACTCAGTGTTCTGGCGCACTGGTGTGCCTCCACCATTCCACCTAGTAAAAAGAAAAGACAACAGTTTTGTCTCCTGGCTAATCTGCCATAGAAAATAAATTGAACTACACCTAATATTTTACTCTATTACTCTAATGAGATACAACATGATCCACATACATACTGTACACATGAATTGTGTTCCTTTTGTTTTATATTTTCTAAACTCACTTTGGCTTGATTGCATCTTCCTGAGTTTCCTCCAGGAGATCATAGATGTAGTTGTTGTAGATTTCTACGTAGGAGACGAAGACACTGTAGCTGCTGTCGTCATCCACGCCATCTGATTTAGAGGCCTCCTCTGGCTTAATCATGTCAGCAATTTCAGGATCAGCCTTTAGCCTAAAAATCAAAGTAGAAAGTTGCACATTAAAACCAACATCCCACTATACTCAGAACTGAGGCAACAATGCAAGCTTAACAAACCCAAAATATCTTTCTGTTAACTAGATTCACTTATCCTAACATCACCAGTCAGGTGAAACAGTGACACAGAAAGAAAGTCTAATCAATTTTACAGTGCAGATTCTTCCTAAAGGGTAAGAAAGACTCTTTAATTAATTGGCCAATAGGTGACAATTTGATTTTGATCTCTAATTTTGAACATGATCTTCTCCACAGCAGTAGCAGCACAAGTTACTCTGCAATAGTTAATAAACCTAGGACTGACTTGTAAGTCAGTGTAAGAGCAAAAATGTGTTGATAATTCTTGTCATCCATGACTTTTACACTGTTAAAATGCAGGACTGTACGGCATGTCTTCATTGTCAAATTTGAATGCATAATTTCATGTGATATTGGGATTTGGAGTTTTGCAGAATTTTGCTGTAGTCTTTCTTTAGCAACAAAGCTCCAAGTCAGTTCAGTAGGCACATCTCACCATGGGATGTAGATTTTTGGATTGCTGACCGCGGATTCCACCACATCTTTCTCAGTAATGTGAACTTACTTTTCACACCCGTAATTAAAAAAAAAATGTAAAATGGGCCTTTACCTAGTGGAGGGTGTTTTAGGAACAGACAAGTTGTTGTCCCGCCTTTGGCGCTCCAACAAAGCATCTACTTCAGTCTGAATCTCAATACTGTTTTTCTCATCAGTCTTAAATACCTGAACAAAGAGAAATAAAATTAAATTAAATTAATAAATAAGCAAATTACTCAGTTATTCTGGTGCCAAACATAATTAACCATTTTTATGTGCCATTTTCTTACATATCTCTTGGCCTGGTAAGGACCTATACTGTTGAAAATCATGTCAAGGGAGCGAGGCAGAAGTCCACCCTGGCCTGGAGAACCTGTCATGGTGAAAGTCTTTCCACTTCCTGTCACCCCGTACGTGAAAAGCAGACCTGACACAAACAGAGAGGAAATCAGCTGCCAATAATGAACTCAAGGCTAAAGTGCCTTTTGCTCCCAAGTAGGTTAAAATGCAGCTGTTAAGAGGGGAAACAGGTCACTGTAATTTAAAATGTTACTGTACTTTAAAATAATCATTGCATATTACTGATGTAGCCTTTGCTCTTACCATTTTTTCCACGGATGAGGTCATCAACAAGAGGTTTCGCCACATGCTCAAAGAGCTCCATCTGTGACACTGAAACTCCAAAGACTTTTTTGAAGGAGTACTGTGTCTGTGAACCAAAAGGGATTACAAAAAATAAATACATAAATAAAAACATACGTATGCATGCTTTGCTTGTTCTGGAAGACCAAAATCAACCATGCGTTATTTTTTCTCTTGTAGTTTCTAGATTCTTCAGCATTTCTGGGGATACGCCTGAAATGAAGCCTTCTACAAGGCCAGACAAACCACTTCAGCTATGCTCATTTATTACAGAGGATGAGTAGTTCTATTCATATCTCCTTCTCAATGCCTAATCTCCACTCTTCAAGGATGTCATCTAATCTGGTCTGAGAACACCTTGTTCCCCACATCTACAAAAGTTCAGTAACTCCATAAACAATGCATTGTACAATTTAACAGATATTGATACATCAAATTATAACAGACTATATTTGGAGATATAGACTGAATAAGAAGGGATTGGTTTTTATACATGATGGTAAATAAGTCAATCTGGGTAGCTAGCTAGCATGGTTAAGACTGTTTAATATCCAATCTGATTGCTTCATACTTTTGCATTCTCACAGCTCTTTTTAGCTTTTTGTTCCACACCACTAGGTGTGTCTATACACCCGTTTCCCACTATCATGTGCAGTTACCTGAAAGAGCTGTGAGAATGCAAAAGTATGAAGCAGTCAGGTAACTGCACATGATAGTGGGAAACAGATATATAGACACACCTAGTGGTGTGGAACAAAAAACTAAAAATAAATAAATAAATAAATGGTGGTCTTCAAGGCATTTGTATCTATGAGAGGTGATAGCAAAAGTCACAACAAACTGGGAAGTGTGCCCCCACCTGTCCAACATCACTACATCTCATGTAAAATTACACAGAGAAAGGCATCAGGGCAAAACAGGCCCAGTCCTGGCACTATCAATGGAGGGAAAAACAAAAATGGAACAATTTGTATTTAACAGTCATAGAGTTTTATGACACAGGAGTAAGCTACGAAATTTCCAACGATGCAAACAATATTTATGACTGGATTTACTTATTGTTGGTTTCAGTCTTTATGCAGCTTTTCCTGACAGTGACAGAAACACATAATCTCACTACCTTTAATCAATTACTACTCCAAACTTATCGGATTTCTTACCTCTTTGTATTCTCCATTGCGGTTTGTTTTGAAGCCCTCCGGGGTGTGCATCTGGATGGTGGTACTGCTGATCACCTCAATGCAGCATTCCTCATCCTCAGCTCCCAGGGGTCGCACACGGCAATATACCTGAAGAACAAAACAACACACATTAAAACAAGCTCTAACGGTACATTTTGAGTTCGTTACTACTGCAAAGATATTTAATTTGCCCAAGAATATCTGATGAACGATTTAAAAAAAAAAAAAAACACAAAAAAAACAAAACCACCAAACAGACTGACATTCTTGGATGCAGTAGGATTTTTGCTGCCATTTGTTTCAGCTTATTGCCACTTGGTGAAACTTTTAAACATACTTTTATTAAGAAACTGAGGAGTCTTGTTATTCACAGCCAGAGTCTTTATACTGTTGTTTTTTTAAGAACAAAAAGGGGGGAATTTTGGTTGGCCCAAAAAACTGAGGAGAGATAGCAATCGAAACTTTTATTGCAAAAGCTTCTTCTTTCTGCTGCTAAAAGTCTACATCTGTTGCCTTTGAGGAAGAAAAGTGATGGCTGCAGAGCGAAACTGTGGTCTCACAGTCAGGTTGAAGAGAAATTGTCCAGAAGAATTTTCACTCTGTCAGTAAATTACTCCACTCTAGGTTCAAACACTCCCTCGCTGGAATGTTTTCTCTTCCACCCAGTGGAATGTATGAGATTAACATTTGTACTGTCTGCCAAGTTGACCTTTAAGAATTCAGGGACACTCACCCCAACTGGGTCCGTCTGGTTGCTGGAGGTTTTTTTTGGAGGATGCCTGCGGGGGGTTTTACCCTTCCTGTAAAAGTAAATAAATACATAGTCATTAACAATTCAAACACACTGTAAGCGTTAGCCATTAATGACTATGTGATGGCTTAACAAAGCCAGTTTTTAGACGGCTAATTAGCCCCCTGCTAACGGTAAAGCAGAGAGTCATCGTCCGTTGGTAACTCCTTAAACTTAAATTCGCCATTTCGTGACATGGTAAAACGCATAAACAATACAGCCTACCAGCGACATATATAATATAAACTTGTACTTACAGTTGTCTCGTCATCGTAGCGTGGTGCCTGTGCTGGTTTCACTGTTTCTGTTTGTCTAGTTTTGAATCTTCCCTCCGCCTCAAAGCCTCAAATCAGCGACTTTTTCAAAACGGACCCGAAGCAACCAATGGGATCTGGCAACGGCAAACACGTGCTTCCGCCTTCACTTCCGAGCCTCTTACGCCTCAAAAACAAAACAAAACAAAACAACAAACAAACAAATAAATAAATAAATAAAAAGTTGGCAAATGCAGTAAAATATAAAATATAATGTACAAACGTCTTTCAGCCACTTTCATTTTTCATCTTCATAAATAATCCTTTGTGTCTGACAAGCAAAATGTAAATCATTTCTTTGTTTTACACAATTCTTAAATATTTTATGAAAATTATTTAATTTAATAATTTAACATGACATTGACATAACGTGACATTTTTTATTTATTTGAGCAATGAATTACTTCGCAATCTTCTGTGAGCATTTGGTTGCCGTTACCTCACTTTGTAGTTTGAGTTGTTTGAACTCCAAACATGGTGCACACTGGGATTTCATGGTGGCTCTACAGTGCCACCCACCGTTCACCAGCTTTAACAGACACAAGTTACAAAACACACATTTTTCAGCACATAGTCACGTGTACTGTCGTGTTACGCAAACAGAGAAGTTCTTGCTGTTAAACTGCAGGGTTAAAGCACTAAACATCACAGGTAAGCAGCAATATGAACATTAGAAGTGCAGACAGGTGCACAATCGTCCGCGTTGTGACGAGTAACTGTTGCTTTGTGTATGTGTGTTTACAAGGTAGAAATGAAAAGCAAGCCCACGAAGTCAGCTGCACCTGGATCAAAGAATAAAGTGAAGAAAACACCTGAGGGGGTCTCCGGTTCAACTCTCTCCAGAAAACTACGAGACAAAACAAATGGCGAAACGTCAAAATCAGGTATGAGGTTCTGAAAACACCGTCAGTCCAGTGACAGCACTGTCTTTGTGACACTTGAATGTGTTCGTGTGTCTTCTAGGGACTGCTCTCAAGTCTGCAGGAGTCCAGAAGAGAGGTTGGGACGGGAGCATACTGCACTATATCTACAAGAGCACTCTGGGCCAGAGTTTGCACTCACAGATGAGACAGGTAAGAGAGCCTGATGTGGTGCTGGCCCCAATGCTGCCCAAAATACTTACACCTGTTCCAATAGTAATTTTAAAAAAAAATCTAATCCAGGGACATGTGCAAGTTCATAAGTCATAGTCCATCTGTTACCTCTCGTTTCCTCTTACTGGATTTATTCGGTGCAGGTGTGAATCTAGCTCTTTTGTCTCTCCAGTGTCTCCAGGAGCCTTTCGTTCGCTCTCTGTCATCCTATCATTTCCACGGTGGCAGCAGCCCCTTCAACCGCAGGATCACCTGTCTTGAGTGGCATCCGACACATCCTACTACTCTGGCTGTGGGGTCCAAGGGTGGAGACATTTATCTGTGGGACTTTGAGGCGCCTGCCAAGAAGACCTTTATTCAAGGGGTTAGTTCCTGTTTAATGGTTTTGATTTGTTCTTTCGATTGATCAAAAAGACATTCAGCAAACTGATTTTAACAGAGGTTAGATGCATCTTTAGGCTGTGGTGCATTTCAGAGCGGTGCGATGTAGCTGTACTTAATGAAACACTGTTGTTGGCTCTCTGGTTAGATGGGGGCTGGAGACTCAGTGACAGACATGAAGTTTAACCACTTAAATCCCACTCAGCTGTTCACCTCATCTATGGGGGGTACGACAGCACTTCGGGATTTCAGTGGGACAACGCTAACAGTGTTTGCCAGCACAGAAACACTGAAGTAAGACTGGAGTGTCCACTTGTTTTTCTTCTGTGCACTAAAATCAAAAAGCGTTAGGGGTTAGTCTAGCATCAGTCTTCTTACAGAGAGTTCAGAGCTCTCTCAAGGGAACTTGTTATCAAGGCAAGGCAATTCAACAACAAGGTGATTCAAAGTGCTTTACAGAGACATTAAAAAACAAAAACAAATAAAAAGCATGATTTAAGGCCGGTGCTGGTGCGAACGTTTGTGTAGTAGTTGTAGTCATAACTGCTGCCTGGTGACAGGCCTACATTTGTATTTGTGTGTGTAGAACGGAGCAGGAGACTTTATCGGAGGGATGAAGTTTTGCCCCACGGACCTTTCTAGAGTCTATGTGGCCTCTGGCGAGGGCACACTGACCGCACAGAGTTTTGAGGGCCACGCACCCACCGTTTTGTCCAGAACTCAAGACTGCGGCCACGATCACCACAATGTTTGGTGAGAAACTCCCAAAGAAGACTGATGCTCGGCATTATGAAAAAGGAAAAGTTCTTTCTTTTCCCTCTACTGTGTCTGTAGGACTCCTGCTGCCACATTTTTTTAATAGCATTAAAAATATTTCATATTTCTTTTCCTATTTTATGAAATTAAATTTGTCAGGGCTATAATACAAAAAAAAATGAATGGCAGATTTCAAAAAGCATGACTATCTGCATGGGTAGACATCAGTAGAGGTAAATGAGAAAACATAGATAGCGGAGAGGATTGTGCATATATAATGTTATCTCTTGTTGAAGTGTCACGTAGTATAATACATCCTATTTTCAATTGAAGCTATGATTTGTGGAAAACATTATTTTGTAAATTCTTACATGTAGCTCTTTTCTTTCGTAGTTTTTGGTACTGCTGCGTTGACGTGTCTGTAAGCCGACAGATGCTCGTGACAGGAGACAATGCGGGGCAGCTTTTACTTCTGGGTTTGGATGGCCAAAAGGTGTGTGCCTCTTTCTTAATGAGGGCTTTCACTGTTTTCAATAAATTAAAGGATTAGTTATAGTTCTTATTTAACACAGAGCACTTTTTCTTTCGGCCCTTCCCTTGAGGGGTCGCCCAAGCCAATCATCTGCTTCCATATCACTCCAATCGATTTCATTCTCCTGTGCAAGTCTTCCTTTGCTACATCCATGAACCTCCTCTGTGGCAATTTAATGTTAATTGATTTGCTCTGTTTTAATGTTTCAGATTTTCAGTGACAAATTGCACAAAGCCAAAGTGACCCACGCAGAGTTCAACTCCCGATGCGACTGGTTGCTGGTGACGGCCTCAGTTGACCACACGGTAAAGCTCTGGGACTTGAGGAACATCAAGGACAAGAAAAGCTTCCTGTACGAAATGCCTCACGAGAAAGCCGTCAACTCAGGTAACACTTCCTCATGGAAAAACCTCTCATGCTTACTACTTTAAAAAAATTTAAAAAAGAAAGAAAATGTTTTCTAATTGTCTTTAATTCATTTCTTTGATAGATTTTTAAGTTCTAAACCTAAAAGATCTGCAAAACCTCTTGACAAAGATTTTCATATCTCCTCACAGCCTATTTCAACCCTTTGGACTGCTCCAAGCTGCTCACCACAGATCAGTACAATGAGATCCGTGTCTACTCATCTTCTGATTGGTCAAAGCCTCAGCACATCATCCAGCACCCGCACAGGCAGTTTCAGCACCTCACACCCATCAAGGTTTGGTTCCTGTCTTTGGGCTTAAACTGTTCTTTTTGCACGTTGGAATTATTGTACAACATACATCTTTAATGTCTTTAACAAACAAGAATTGCGTGCACAAGTAGTTTATTCTAGATTTTTTACACAGAGTCAAAAGTATACACACACCTGCACTAGTATTCTGGCTGGATATTTGACCACTCTTCTTGCAAGAACCGGCAGAGTTCATTTAAATTAGTTGGCTTCCTACAACAGACCCGGCTTTTAAGGACACTGCACAGATTTTCAATAGGGTTGAGGTCAGAGCTTTGGGAAGGCTCTTCCAGAAGCTTTAGTCATTTATTGTTATTGGGATTTATTATATTAATATAGTTCTAAGCAGAAGAACGATAGGTGGATGGATGGGTTGAAGTACAAAGAGCATGAGAACCAAATACAGCTTTGATCATGGGTTGCTGATCTTTTTGATAAATATTTTGATCTTTTAGATGAATACAGATTGTATTTTGTATAGTCGGGGCTGTTGTGGACCACAACATGACATCATTGTGATAGACTGCAGCATTTTTTTTTTTAACGTGCATAAACTGAGACCAATATATCTCCTGCAGACATGCATTTTCTACCATTAAAATATAAATAACATTTAAAAAAAATGCTCCAGTTTGCAAATATTTCAGCAAAAATCAAATTATAAATTTGAAAGAGCCAAATGTCTATAGGCGTTTGCATCGATATACGGTATAAGAATTTGTTGGAGAGATGTTAACATTTTCATATAATTTGTGACAACAGATTTTTCTGCTTTAATTGTGCTGTAGGCCACATGGCACCCTATGTATGATCTAATTGTGGCCGGCCGTTACCCCGACGATCGCTTCTGCGGGGCCGACCTGAGGACCATTGACATCTTTGACTCCAACACAGCAGAGCTCGTGTGTCAGCTGTACGATCCCACTGCTTCAGGGATCAAATCTGTGAGTATCATTTCATTGTAAACATCAAGAACTAGAACTTTCATTATTTTAAGATCGCGGCTTCTGTTTTTACAGATCAACAAATTCAACCCAATGGGCGATGCAATTGGATCTGGCATGGGTGAGCACTTGGACAAGTACTGCACATTATTAACAGCCATGGTTTTTATTTACTTCCCACTAAAGCGCTGTCCTGCTCACTCCCCAGGTATAACTGTGCTGGTCTGGGACCAGAACGAGTCACCGATGGGCGATCACCACGTTCAGCAGGAAGGACCATTGACCTCAGTTTTAAGAGGGCAGCGGAGGAGTCAGCCACGCTCCAGTGGGAACCGGAGGGGTCCTGCTGTGGATGCAAAGCTTAAGAAAAAGCTAGTTTCACTGGAAGAAACTGAGACTAAAACCAAGAAGGGCTGCACTAAACAAAAACAAACACAGATGAGAAAGAAGTGAACTATAAAACAGCCGGGGTCATAAAAAGCTGTGTTTCATATGCTGTTTATTCATTGTTACTGAGTCTCCACGTTCAGAGATTGTCTGCATGTTTAAAAAGTCTTCATATATATATAAATAAATGTGTTCAAAAGCAGTGTTTTCTTTTTTTGTTTTTTTACTGTATGACAATAAAGATGCTCATTTCATATATGGCTGAGTCATTCTTTGATTACATATTTCTTATTAATACAAAATCCAGAAACATTTAAGGCAAGTGGTTAATTGCATGCAACTTTATTTTAAGAATATCTGAAGAGATGATTCCCTCGGAGTTCGTGTACCGTGATGTTTGCCAGCTTGAGGAGAACTCCACCCCAAGCTTCTTGTCTCTCTTTCCTCTTCTCATGCCAAGCCTGATGTGCAGCGTACACCATGCTCAGCACGACATTTTCAAACTGCCGCTCCATCATCGGTCTGCTCCTCTGGCCCTCGAGTGCATCTGCCATCTGCTCCATGGAGCTCAGACTTCTGGGAACATTGTCATTGATCAGAGACAGAAAAGCTCGCCCCTGCCTCATCGACGCCATCTCCTCATCGAGCAGGACGATGTTGTTGTCCTGATCGAGCTCCACCCCACCCAGCAAAAGCTGCACGAGTAGGAGGGGGGACAAATGTTCATCAGTTATTTGTAATATTTAGCTTGCCTAAGTGTAGCCTTAAGTAAAGCAAAGAAAAGTACCTCATAGATCAGGTTTGCATTGGAAACTAGTGGGTCGGTGTTCTGAGAAGCTGGACTTAAGCCTTCAGCCACATCTAAACAGGAAAACACTGAAGTTTAGCTGCACTGTAATCAAATTAGTCAGTGGTGACAAACTGTCAGGGTTCAAATAAACACTTGTTCATCCATTTTGATACATACTGCACAACTGCACGCAGTATTCAGTGACAACATTCAAATTTCTCTCTTTTCTTCGCAGCCATGCCAGCGGACCTTCTGTTACTCACCCTGCAACACCTGCTCAAAGCAAAGCCACAAAATGACCTGGAGGAAGATTTTCAGTTGGGAGCTCGCAGTCATTCTTCTTCTGATTGTTATCGGCAGATAGTACACTCCTCACCTCATCTCCTCACCTCTACTCTTCCTAGTACTCTTTTGTGACTTCAGGCAGGCGCAGCTTAGACTGAATACCGTGCATTTTTCCACCTTGGAAAAAGAGACCAAAAGCCAGTTGGCAGTGATGCAGAGCAGACAGAAACGGATGGAAAGCTTTCAGCGAGCAGAGCTCAGAGAGGCAACTAATTCTGTTGTTCTTTTATTGAGCAGATTTCCAGCATGAACATCAAACATAGGAAGCACATGAATGCACAGTGTATTCATGTAAAACAAGAAAAAATATAAATACATGAAATTAGGTAAAGTGAATTCAAGGTGAGGCAACTCTCAACATAAATAATTCAAGGAAAGAAAAATGGTGAGTTCATATTTTTTTTCCTTCATAAACTTTAGTGTTTTTGTGTAAACTTCTTATCTCTACCAGGACTCCCTGTCAGTGAGTCAGCCAGCTCTGCACATGTAAGCAGAATTCCTGCACTGATTCACAATCTTTTATGCAAGAATTCACTGCATGGATGACATTCATTCAAGTTGTCAGAGCTCACCCTCTTTGTTAATAAGTGCAGCTCGATGGAACACGTGTGTCCCTCGCTATTCTTTTTAAATTATGCATGATCGAATGTTGCTGTCAGTATAAGCAACACAGAATACATGTATGTGAATGACAGGGAGACTCATGTTCCAATGAAGCTGCAAAGAGAAAAGGCAGTTAAGGTAGTTGAGTTTCAATACTGGTGGTCAGCAAGGCTGAGATGGTTTGAATGCATGCAGATGAGGGATAGTCTATATATTGCACAAAGGATGTTGAATATGGCAGGAGGAAAAGATAAAGGCCACAGAGAAGATTCATGGATGTAGTGAGGGCATGCAGATGGTTGGTGTGACAGGATGCTAGGGATGGGCTGAGATGGAGGCAGATGATCTGCTGTGATGACCCCTAAAGGAAGGAGGAAGAAGAAGAACATAAAAGGCAAGACGAAACTGGCAAACTCCGAAAATATTATTCAAGAAGCATGCCACCCCTACCAAGACAACACACAGATGTACATACCATCCCAAGTGTCATAGCAGTGAGAAAGAGAGAGAGACATGCTAGAGTGCATGGCATGAGTTGCTGCATGTGATTGGCAGATTAGATAGAAAAACAGGTGTGTAAACCATGTGGCTTTAGGGATTCATTTTGACGTAAACATTTAATTAGAATGATTTTTTTGTATTTTTTTGGCTTTAATTTTTTGTATGTTAAGTGACTCGTGGCGCCCCACGTGTAGTATCCTTAGGGCCCAGCAGGGGGCTGTGGCACACACTTGACTACAAGTTGAAGAAACCGCAGTAACACAGCTTAACCACAGGGATGCAGTAGCACCCATTGGTGCCGGTGAATGTGTCATATTTGCGTGCTGAAAAAGTTTATTTACTTCCGGTGAACGGTTTAGCGCCTTCTGAATGATAGAGTAGTGGAGATAAAGGTAACCGTATTTGTTTACTCACATTTAAAGCCTTGCGTTTTTATTTTTATTTTTTGCTTCATTCACAGCCCTAGTAATAACACAGTCGACACAATTTTACGGTTGAATTTGTGCTCCAAAGGATTGTAGTTTGCTAACTGCTTTAGTGCTAATGCTAGCTAATCCTATCCGTGAACGCAGCACAGCTAACACGATTAACGTAGTAAATGCCATTCAGGAATCTAGCATCCTGCTATGTCAATGAATTCACACATAATGTAACTTCAGGGTTTTATCGTTACATTTAATGGCATCTTGATAGAGTTTTTGAGCAGCTAGCATGGTATCTGCACTCACTGAGTTGTTTATTTGTGAATTAACTCGCTAAATTCCTGATGTTGGCGACAATTTAGAAACATTTGTGAATGACACTTAATCAGCCAACGAATAAAATTTACAAAGCATGTGGCAGCAACTTAAAATAAATGGCAAGGTTATGTGTAAACGCTCTGAAAGACTTTCTGTTTTAAGTTTTAAGGATGTATAGGACAGCTATTCAGAGTTACATACTTAACCGTGTTAGAATGGTTTACATTTATGTTGTTATAATAATTCAAATAGTCATTAATTTTAAAGAGTTCGAGAGTTTTCTTTATCATCTGTTTTTAGTTTATACTCCAAAAGTAACTCATTGCCTATTCACATATACTTATGCGAATAGGCTAGTTAGTTACATTCACTGAAATTTGAACCATATCATCTCATTGGAGACAGGTTTTATTGGAAAATTGGCATGTTATTATTAACTAGATATGCTGAAAATATACTGACATCTGAGTATAAACATGTCGATCAGTGTTTGTTACTTTTTCACAGGCGAGCAGAAAAGATGGAGTCCAGTGAGGAGGGTGGCCTCAGTGTTGGGGGATCTGTGGGCGAGGAAAACTACTTCCTGGGGTACACATTCACGGACCGCTCCCACTCGAGCCGAGTGGTGAAGAGCATTATGGATCTCTGCCTGGAGGACGGCTTGTTTGCTGATGTCACCATCACCGTTGACGGCAAAGAGTTTCACCTGCACCGCCTGGTGCTCTCTGCGCAGAGCAGCTTTTTCCGCTCCATGTTCACCTCCAATCTCAAAGAGTCGCACAACCGCATTATCGAGCTTAAGGATGTCAGCGCTACCGTCTTCCAGCTGCTGATTGACTACATCTACCATGGTACCATTAAACTGAGGGTGGAGGAGCTGCAGGACACCTATGAGATGGCGGACATGTACCAGCTGACTGCTCTGTTTGAAGAATGCTCGCGCTTCCTCTCCCGAACAGTGGAGGTCAAGAACTGCTTGCAGGTGAATTATTGTTTTTGTAACACCTGTTCTCATAGTCCTTGCTTCTTGGCAATGGTGCTGCAATACAAGTAATTCCTTTTTCATCTAGGTGATGTGGCTTGCAGACAGACACAGTGATCAGGAGCTGTATACTGCAGCAAAGCACTGTGCTAAAATCCACCTGGCCCAGCTGCACCAGACTGAAGAGTTTCTAAATCTGCCCCTCTGTCTACTACTAGATATCATCAAAGGTATAACACTTTGCTTCTCTGTCACCAGACTAGCAATTATTTTTACATATTTATTAAAATACATTTAGGATTTTAATGTTGCATTGCAAAAAAAAGGATGCATGTATGATTAAAAAATAAATGGATAAATCAAATAAAAATGTGGACATCGGTTAATTATTATTTTAAACAAGGGTATAATTATTGGCTTTGAGTTCAACAATTGATGCATTAATATTTATTTAAATCCTGAAAGTAGGATGTGTGAATAATGAACACTGCACCTGAACTAATCTGAAAACAACAACAACAAAACAACACTAAATCTAGATATTCTTCAAAAAAGGCCTTTTTAAATTTTTACAATTTTAACAGAGAAAACATTTTCATGATCCTCTAACAGGAAAAAAAAACACATCTTCTGATCTAGTTTCAAACATGCCTTGTGTTTGTGTTCAGATGGCGTTCCAAGTTCTCAGAATCCAACAGTGGCCATCGAGTCATGGATAAATCACAATAAAGTTGAGAGAGAGGAGTTTTCTTGCATCCTTCAAGAAAATCTTAAGGTAATTTTCTCTCATATGGAGCTGTAAAATATTTTTAAAAAACATTTACATTGCTGATGTTTCCTTTTCTTCGTCTTCAGGAAATTGGTGAGAATGTCCATATTTACCTGATTGGCAAGGAGGAGACGAGAACTCACTCTCTGGCTGTGTCACTGCACTGCGATGAGGATGATGCGATCAGTGTGAGCGGCCAGAACAGTTTATGTCATCAGATCACCGCAGCCTGCAAACATGGAGGGGACCTATATGTGGTGGGGGGTTCTATCCCGCGGCGCATGTGGAAGTGCAACATGCACACGATGGACTGGGAGCGTTGCGCACCACTTCCCAGAGACCGCCTCCACCACACTATGGTGTCCGTCTCCACTGAGGATGCCATCTACTCACTGGGAGGTAAAACGCTGCAGGACACGCTCTCAAATGCCGTCATCTACTACACAGTGAAGGACAACATGTGGACAGAGACCAACCAGCTGGACACCGCAGTGTCAGGGGCTGCTGGCGTCAACCTGGGAGGCACCATCTACCTGCTGGGAGGGGAGGAGAACGACATGGATTTTTTCACAAAGCCTTCTCGCCTCATTCAGTGCTTCGACACCTCCTCCCAAAAGTGCCAGATCAAACCTTACATGCTGCCGTTCGCTGGCTGCATGCACGCAGCAGTCCACATGGACGTGATTTTTATCGTAGGAGAAGGAGACTCACTGGTGTGTTACAACCCACTGCTCGAGAGCTTCACACGCCTGCGCTTCCCCGAAGCGTGGAGCTGTGTCCCTTCACTGTGGAAGGTGGCCAGTTGTAATGGCTGTATTTACGTCTTCAGAGACAAATGTAAGAAAGGAGATGCAAATACTTTAAAGTTTAACCCGGCCACGTCTGTCGTCTCCGTAATCAGAGGTATTAAGATCCTCCTCACAAACTGGCAGTTTGTTTTGGCCTAACCTCTCCGCGGTACGTTCACACTGTGGTCAACACACCAGCCACAGAGAATCAGGGAAGACTGTTGGTTGACTGACCAAGACTTCACTCATGGAGACGTCCTGTGAAGAAATTTGTCCATGAGTTGTATTTACTCAGCTGTGTCACTTATTCCATTCAGACACCACCGGCCCCACAACAACAGTTCAGCGGTGTGTCGCTTGTACTACAACGTGTCTCATTGTCGGCTCCTTAGCCGAGAATCTAATTTGTGGTGATGCTGTGAAAAGTGATGAACTAATCTATTGTTTTCTGTGCACTCCTCATTTACTGACACGCATGAACAGCTTCAGTGTAAAAATATTAATGAACACAAGGCATCTTTCACTATATTGTAAGTGTGTCATGATATTGTAGGTCAGATATCATAAGATGTTTTTAAAGTGCTCATGTTATACTTGTTTTCAGAGTCTACTAGAATAAGTTTACATACTTTAATGTTGAGTGCGTACACGGCCTTTTCATTCCAATAACTATTGCCCTGTCTGTTTAAAGCCCACTCCGGAGAAAAACACTTTGCTCTGATTGGTTTGTTAGAATGATCAAAGCAAAGCAAAGTTGCCTAATGTACATAACCCACAATGGTTATGGAAAGCTTAAGCTATATTCAAAATATATTGCAGCATCTGACTTTTTCTGAATGACTATTTTATCTGTAAATATAAATATTAAACAATAGCTCCAACGTATGTGAATGGTCATCACATTTCGTCACACAGTGTTGCTGTTAGCAAGATTTTAGCTGTGAAGAGAAAATATTGATTGGGAATTTGCTATTTTAAAAAGAAGCAAAACAAAACAACAGCTGTTTTAGTTTGAACATGACAAGGTGGGACAAAATATTAATAACACAGTATATATCATAGGTAAGAAACTCACGGGGAGCTAAATAAAATGAATTGGCATTAAAATGTAAATCTTACCGTAATGATTTTAATAACTATAGGTTTATAAAAAGATTATAAATCTGAATTCTTTTTATTTTTGTGTCCATTTGTTTCTTGTTTTTTGACTGAATTTTGTTTGAATCACCACTGAATCTGGAATGAAGGCTTGAAGCACAACGTGCCAGTAATAATAAAAATAATAAGAATAATACATGTATTATTATTGACACCGCAGTGCTTAAATATATAACTCATACTTTTTAATGCCTTTCTAGGATTATTTTTTCTACAGTTCCACAGATGTGAAGTATTGCAGAGGATACTTGCATTATGATAACCATTGTTGTAGTATTGTACCAGGAAAGTTGTTTGTGATTCCCAGGAAATTATGGTGGATTGTGGATGTAATTTAGGCACCTTTTTTTTTTTTTTTCTTATGCTTATGTGTTACATAAGATAAGTCACAGAACAGAACTGGTAGGTTTACATGCACTAAATGTGTCAGACTGAAGGTTAATGGAAACATGAAAGTATAGTACGGGCACTTTAAGTTGGTGTGTGCAGACATGATAACAAAGGGTGTTTTTTAACTTTTCAGATTTTCTTGTCTCAAGATTGTATTTTTTGATGTACACCATACATGTTCAAGTTAACCATTATCTGAAATGTTAAATATATTGCTGTAGCTACAAGCTTTGAGTGGTTGTTTTGATATTTATAACCTTTAATGAATTAACAATGCTACCATTGATCCTGTGTTAGATACAGTGATGCACTTACAAATTGTGCCTGTGTAGGTCTGGAAAACTTTAGCTGAAGAAAAAAAAAAAGTACTTAAATAACATTTATCTGTTTATGTCCTTGTGAGATAAAAGGGGCATCGAAGGAGAGAAAGCAACCACACAGACGCCAAAACTTTGATCCCATTGATGTTTTGCAGGAGGCAATGCAGCTGAAACCCAAGCCCAGTAACATGTCAGACTTTGTGAACTATTCTAAGCATCAGTTGCTGACGATAAGATGAGGGGTGGGGGTTTCTGGGGCCACATATGAGTCTCCATAAGGACTCGCAATAGGAATTGAAGCTAAGAGCACCAGTAAGACGGGCGCAGTTTGAATGTCTGGATATAAGCTGCTCGCGAAACGGTGTCACAGTTCACCGCTGCCCATGTGAGGATCTGGTCGGATGTTTTCGCGGATGAGCCCTTTTAAGTCTGCAGACGTTTGTGATGTCACTCGTGTAGTTAGTCCTTGAGTAATGTTTAGTGTAAAGGTAGATTGCTAGGAGCTGTAGTGACCTTGGGACTGTTTGCTGAGGCCAGAACATAATTCCTGAAGGGACACATGGTCTAGAGTGACAGGGCCATCTGCTGTAGTGCCAGCAGTAGGAGGAAGGCGGAGGGGGGCGGGTTGGACACCGGGGTGCTGAGAATTCCTTTCGGTGGGTGTGGAGGGACTAGATATTCTGGGATACCACTGCTATCACACTGCTTGGGAAACATTTTTCTTTGACGTGTTTCGAAAGGAAATCTGACAGAGAATTTTGCAAATGCTTAATGGTGAAGGGGAAACGTGGCTCGGTTAAATGGGGAGGATATTTGCTTGGCCCTTCAGCTCTCCGTAAACCGTTTGGTAATAAAGGTCTTGGTGTGTCGCCTTCTCACTTTGGTGGATCCAGTTTCCTTTCCATCTCAGCACAGCCGGAGCTGATAGAGCGGGATCCTGTGGGCCTTCTGGCACAAACCTCTCACAGGGATCATCTTCAGGGGATCTTCTTTGGAGTTGTACTGTTCATGGCAAGGATCTATTTTCTTGCTGCCTCACTGAAATTGCATGGCCTAAACAAATGAATATTTTTATGAGGCACCTTGCACCAGAGATGGGCCAGGACCAAACCAAGCAGCAGATAGAGAAGGGTCTAAAGTTGTATCAGTCCAATCAGACAGACAAAGCTCTGCATGTGTGGACAAAAGTGTTGGAAAAGACCTCAGATCCCGGAGGAAAGTTTCGAGTGCTGGGGTGCCTGATCACAGCTCACTCAGAAATGGGAAAGTACAAAGACATGCTAAAGGTAGGCTATCAACACCACAGCGAGCCACGTATAATGGTATAGTATATCTAGCATTTCTGTAAAGGAGTAAAAAAATCTACCTCAATAACTGTAGCTCATACTTGTATGACTCATATTCCAAGACTAAACAGCCACGCTTTATTTATATTACTAATGTTAAGACATTATTCCCATTTTGCCTACTGTGCGATTACATTTTTCTGTTATGCAACCAGCAGTAGGCGTGTGTGTGCAGTTCCTGTTCCAGTTACTAAATGTCACTGAATATCTCATAATTTTAAATGTCATCATGTCAGCTGTGAAGTGCCGCCGTTTACACAGTTGTAGCATTGTAACATTTCCGCAATGTGTCAGTGACTATTTCATGAGAAGAGGTCAAAGGTTACCTTCTTCCAACCACAGCGATCTTGAGAAGCATGGGTTAATTTGTGGCTTCCACATGATGCGGAGTAAATAAGTGCTCTGCAACCTAAGTATGAGTGTGGGGTGTCTTGTTGACATAATCATCCTTCCTGAAGCAGCGCCCGCTCTCACTAACTCGGCTTTAATGAGAACTGTAAAAAAGTAGGGGTCTTATGTCTGAATGAATTTAACGGATTAAAAAGTCTTTGAATCTGGGTGAAGTTGAAGACTATGCTTGTTCCCTGCAACATTTATCCTCTTACTCTATCTGCAGTATGCCCTTGAACAAATTGACACAGCCAGAGAAATGGAGGACCCAGACTACCTGACGGAGGGCTACCTGAACTTGGCACGCAGCAACGAGAAGCTGTGCGACTTCCAGAAAACAGTCTCATACTGTAAGACCTGCTTAAACATGCAGGGCACCACTGTCAGCCTGCAACTCAATGGCCAGGTATGTCTTAGCATGGGCAATGCCTTCCTGGGTCTCAGTGTCTTCCAGAAGGCCCTGGAGAGCTACGAGAAAGCCCTGCGCTATGCACACAACAACGACGACAAGATGCTGGAGTGCAGAGTCTGCTGCAGTCTGGGAAATATCTACGTCCAGCTTAAGGTACTCAAAAAGCAGTTTTTCTGACAAGCGATTCTTGTTTTCCCATCATTACATTTTGCTCAGTTTCAATAAAAATGAGCGATTCCCGATAAATAAATGTAAAAATCGTACATACTTTGGCTGTTCCAAACGTCTCCGCTGTGTTATTTGAGTAAAACTTTCACTGGACTGCACGTGTGACTCCACAATCAATGATTTTGCCAGCGTATTCACAGAGTATGACAACACTGCAGAACATCTGAGCCAACATCATCAATGCTTAGCCTGTGTAGTGCTGGGCATTGTAAAACAAGAGCTGAGTGAGTTGGCCGGCTGGTGTGTGGGTTGGTTTTTTTTTTGTAGTACCCTTGACATCTGAGATTTGTATATGTAATCCTCTGGCTTCCCAGAGAGGATTGGTTTCAATGGGATAGTGATGAAGTTCTGCTTGAAGAATGCACTCATGTGTCACGTTATTTTATGACGCAAAAAAATATTACATCCTGCATCGCAACGCGATTTAATATTGTCTGAGTGCTCTTGTTAAGAAGATTAAAAACCAAAATGCTAATGCTAGTAGTATCTAAAAAGATGTGGTGCCCTTTTCTGGTGTCACCTAAGTGGTCATTCACATGTGCCTACAGGACTTTGAGAAAGCCCTGTTCTTCCCCTGCAAAGCGGCCGAGCTTGTCAATGACTACGGCAAAGGCTGGAGCCTCAAGTATCGAGCCATGAGCCAGTACCACATGTCTGTAGCCTACAGGAAACTGGAGCGCCTGCCAGATGCCATGGAGTGCTGTGAGGTATTGTTTTATAACACATCATTACCGTCCTCGGAGACAAACTTACATAACTCAGAGCCTTCCTCGCCATCTTGCTGACCCAACCCCCGTGCCTTTGATTGCTCTGAAGTTGGAGCTGCAGAGACAGTAGATGCTGCGCTGCCGACAGGTGCAAGTGGCAGTTGTTCTTTTGTACGAGGCCTTAGACCCTGACAAAAATATGCTCAGAGAGGCGCGGTTTAAAGTGTTAATGAAGAGGGTGGATTTAGTCTTTGCTCTGTTCTAATTATGTACCGGGGGGTGAAAGATAACTCGATGTCATTGCCTCTGAGTGTAGAAGTATAGTAACAAGACAGCAGGATGCATTTCAGATTTATCACATCTAACCCAACAGTTTATGCATCCGCACATACTCAGGATACCACGGACAACGGCTCATATTTATTCTATCACGTCTCTCTTTAAATGCACACTGAATGCGATACAAATAAATCTGTGTAACTGCAGTTAAGAAGATGCAGCTTAGAGTTTCGATTTAGTTCAGGGTGTTGGTGTTACATGATGGAGGTAGGACTCTTTTAATGTCTGCTCTTTACTTTGCACCAATAAATAATCTGTCTTTTGCTTCAACAGGAGTCCATGAAGATTGCCCTGCAGCATGGTGACCGGCCTCTTCAGGCTCTGTGCTTGCTAAACTTTGCAGACATTCATCGCTGCAGACATGATGTTGATGTACAGTACCAATATTGCATTCACATTTAATGTAAAATTTCAAAACTGGTCATCTACAACTAGTCTGTGCGTTTACCTTTTTGGGTTTTTTTCTCTTCATATGTTCAGAAAGCATTCCCTCGTTATGAGTCTGCGCTGGGTATTATGACTGAGATAGGAAACCGTCTTGGGCAAGCACACGTCCATCTGGGAGTGGCAAAGTGCTGGCTTCTGCAGAAAGAATTTGACAAGGTTTCCTACAGTTTACACAAATATAAATTCTGACAGTAAAAGGATACAATGTTTTATTTGTACTCAAAATAAGTGCTCATCTGGTATTTATGAAGTGTTCCTGTTCATGTTCCAGGCTCTTGATTCTTTGCAGCGAGCACAGGAATTGGCGGATGGAATGGGAAACAAGGTAACTGAACAGGAAAAGAGCTGCAGGGATAGTTTAGCCATTTCTTATTCTAGATTTATTTTCTTTCAGTCGTAGTTGTAAAGATGACTGTTGGTTAAACAAAACAAGACACCTGAAGATTTTAAGCACTAGTGTCTCATGCTTTTAAACTGTAAAGCAATGACATTGTGATTCTTTCTCTTATACAAGCTGTGCACACTGAAGGTTCACTGCTTGAGTGAAGGGATTTACCGGAGCAGGGGGCAGCTGAATGAGGTCAGAGAACAGGTGGTGAAGTTCCTCCAGTGTGTTGAGGAGCTGGAGCTCTACTGCGGCATGTGTGGAGAGTCCATCGGGGACAGGGACCAAAAGCTGCAGGCCTTACCCTGTTCCCACATTTTCCATCTCAAGTGGGTGTCTGTTCAAATCTCGCCTGGTATTAGTTACATTAGAAAAACAAGGCACTTGGACGAACGATGAAATGTTTTGCCACTGATCCTGCTAGATTGGGCATGCATCACGACTTTGCAGAAACAACAAAGTGCTGATTGTGATTTGGATTTTCTTAACCTATAAATTGTTCTCATAACCAAATCTAGATGTAGTTTAAAGAGTGTATTTCCAGTGTTTCTTTGTCTTTCAGGTGTCTACAGACAAATGGGACAAAAGGTTGTCCTAAATGCTTCAAGTCCTCCATGAAGCCGGGATTTGTGTGATTGCGAGGCTGCGTTTGAGCGTTGGATCTGCAGACACGGCATGGTGCCTCACAGGCTCCTGACTGATCTGAGAGACGCAGGTAGCCTTAGGAGGTGCTGAGGAGTGTTTCATTGCTCTGAGCAGAGGATGCTGAACTGAATCCAGAATGTCGAAGCATGTTGCTCAGAAGACACGATCAAGGCATCCATCTTTCTTAGACAACAGTCTGAAGCTGACAAAGGAGGTATAACCGATGGAAGTGTTGCAATTCGAGATAAGCTGAAGAGCCTACATGGTCTCTGATGACTGGCCGTTTGTTGCAGCATTTAAACAGGAGACGGACCGTCAAAAGAACATTTACAGCATAGTGTGATTGTTATTTTATACACTGGAATTGCTTAGTACAAAGTGAGACGAAATTACATCTCCCCAGACTTAGTGTCGTGACTTTTTGTTCAGATTCAAAGATTCAATGCTGACTTTTTACAGCACAACAGTTGAGCCATATTTATTACTGAAACCTGTGTACATACTATTCTCATGTTAATTTCTTTTAAAAGTTTGATTTATTTGACGTGTTTTGTAAGTCCTGAAACAAACTAAAATCTCTTAACCATTCAAAAACTAGTATGTCTTTACAAAACAGGTACATGCAGCTGTTTTCTTCTGTCCTTATTCACAGAAATCCAGGAGCCAGCCAGTTTCCTTTTTCCTTTCATTAATCCATTCATTAATTCAAAACGTTCCCTTTGGTTCTTTAGCCATCAGAATTGTTGTCTGAAGACCAACAAGGATACCTAATGGATTTACTTTGCCAAATGGATCATCATGGCCTTGCCGTATTGGTCCATTTGATCGTCCTTTGTTGTTATTATTTATTTTATTATATTTTCAGTTGTTACAGACGGGACAGACATGAGTGAGGGATAGGAAAGGGAGAAAGAAAGATGAAGGAAAAGAAAAACAGAAGGGAAGAGGGACAGTGAGAGAGGGCACTTAAAAAGAGAGAGAAGAGAAAAAAAATAAAAAAAATCTCCTGGATTACCTGTTGAGAGAAAAAGAAGAGAAAATAAGCAAAAAAAACCAACCAAAAAAAACAAAAACAGAGCAACACACTAAACACAACACTGTCACATTAATCTAGCTAAGTGTAAACAGCCGTAAATACGAAATGTTGAATGTTGTTGTGTAGCAAGCAGCGCACATTGTGCTTGGAAATAGCAGCCAATAAAGGTATAGTTTATGTCTATGAACAGTGGACACCTGTGTGCACACCTGTTTTCACCTGTTCAAAACTTTTTGAGAAGAAAACCCTACGGGGAAAGGATCTTTGACCAATCACACGCTTACACACAGTTATTTGGGGGCAAATGCGTTCAGTGTATTTTAATGTATTGTATTTGTGAAATGGTGAAATCTCTGTATATTTAGAATATTTACTTGGAAAGGTATTTTAGTGAAGCCACTTTAACTGAGATATCATGTCAGTGAGGGGTTGCATGTTTTTTTTATTTACAATGCTGAAAAAAAGTTTAGATACTTCAAAATATGCACCCATGTGACTGCATAAGTATTTCTTTCTTTCTTTCTTTCTTATTTAGTGGCTTTTATTATTCGTATCCCCTATAAATCATTTCTAAGGAACGCTATGGAAGGAGCCGTCATAGACTGAGGTTTCTCACGTAAAGTCATTTTTTCTCAAAAACTAAAACTCCTTTCACTAAAGTTCCTGTTGAGATTGTGCTTGTAGATAGCTTTAAAGTACTCCTGTGGCCATTAAAGGGACACACTGATAAATTCAACAGCATAGTGATAAGGAGATAAAGATCTGATTTTGTGTTGACAAATGACAGGAGCCTTTTGAAATACTTTAAGTGCACATTGGAGATAGAGAAAAGTGAGAGCAACACATTTACACAAGTGTTTCTGAACAAGCACTTATATCTCTGATTTTAAGAGCACCCCTTGACCTTGCTTCTAAATGGCATCTGAATCTTATTTGAGCTCTCTGCATTCAAAATAATGCTGATTCACTGTTTACCTGTGGCTCACTCGCTGTAATGCACATATATTATCTGCTGGTTATTCTTGTTGTCTTGTCTGTAGTATAAAAAAAAAAACAATTTTACTGACAGTACGGCCGCCACTCATCTTTTAACAATTTAAACTACCTCTGTTTTTGCCTTTGCGGATTAATGCAGTAATACCACAACATTTAAATACATGTAGATTTGTTATGTTTTTCTAGACGTCATGTTGATATAAACATGATTTATTCGATAATGTCTCAGCTGTCCAGACATGGATTGAGCCTGGATCATGGAGACCTTCACTAAAACTTTCTTTCTGTCTCGGATGAGGGTTAATCCATGTCTGAGAAACTGACTGTAAGAGTTTGACTACGATGCATTGTTAGTATGTTTATGCATTTAGTCAAACGTCCTTCTTGTGTTTAACATGATGGTAAATAAAAACACTCTTGAAAGTGACTGTATTTTTGTATTTTTGTTTGGTAATTTGGCGACAAAATAATTTTTCTGACCCACTACCACGGCTTCAGGGAATTCTGGATGACTTGCACGATTAACCAGAAATACCAGTTGGCCATCTTTTACTGAAACCGCCTACAGTCACAATGCCTTGAAATTTAAAGGAAGTTTTCTTGTGAACTCACTCGATAGAAACCCTTCAACCTGATGGCTGCGAAAACGACGGTTCCTGAAGAAGACATAACTTGCCCTCAATGCACGGACATTTATTGCCTTCCAGTTCTTTTAAAATGTGGCCACAACATTTGCAGAGTTTGCCTGTTTAACTACTGGGAGTGGAAAGGATTGCGAGAGTGTCCCGTCTGTGGCATCGTGTCTGACACCAAGAGACCTCCTATTAATCTGGCACTGCACAATGTCGCAAAGGAACACAAAGTGCTTATAATGACCAGCAGTCAAAACAAATGTTGTCAACACAACGAGAAGTTGAAGATTTTTTGTCACAACGACGGAGAGCTCATCTGTCTTATCTGCCAACTTTCAAAAGAGCATAAAGTCCACGAATGCAGCCCAGTAGAAGAAGCAGCCGAACAGAAAAAGGTTTGTGAAAATAGAAATACTTCCACCACAACACAGTAGAAGAAAGTCAGTTATATTGTCTATTTGTTAAATTTTAATAGAAAGAATCTTAGGAGGCCGGAACTGATGAACAAGATTAATCAGCTGTTGGTTTGAGCTCTGAATGTTTAATTTCTTCTTGAATTTCAGGCAGAAATATCAGCCAGCCTTGAGTCTTTACAGAATAAACTCGAAA